TGTGTCATACACACACACACACACCAATCACGTGTGTCATACACACACACACACACACACCAATCACGTGTGTCATACACACACACACACACCAATCACGTGTGTCACACACACACACACACACCGATCACGGTTATCTAAGTCACACCATGGTCTCATTGTGTCTCCAGAAATTGGTCTTTATCGGACGTCAAGGCGAAGATCGTCAGCGAGCTAGGGTCCACCACACTGGTAGGAGTAGGATTCTGGCTGCCCGTGAATATTCTACAGGTAATTGTGTGACATACACCTCAACCCCAGCTCTAATACTAAGTGAATGGGCATACACATCTTAACCTAACCCCGACTCGGGACGCGGCTCGGGACCGCCGTCACATTGGAGAGTTTCTGATGTTCTTTGAATCGTATGTATGAGACCTTTTGGGGTACTTGCTGTTCGGTATCAATATGCATAGGTTCATGATCTGGAGTTGCAACTGACACTCACTCACAGCACACCATACTTACCTGCCTTCAAATCGCAGTATGCAGTCGTACCGACGAGATGGCGATCGTCAGCAGGTGCCTTTGTAGGGTGCGCATGGGCATCGTATCTAAGTTACCAGGCCACGAAGGACGTACCTGGCACGTGATATACATCAATATATGTGTTACATACATACATGGGTTATACCTACAGCTGTACATATCGCTATGACGAATGCCCAGAGCTCAGCTGCTTTTCCTCCAAGGGTCACTTGGTTGTCTATGGAAGTCTACGACCGTCGCCCTGCAGGCACTTCAGCTGTTTCTCCCATCCGATTGGCTTTGCTATGAAAAGTGCGGTGGTACAGTCTCAAGTAGATCTCATACTAGGGCTTATCCGGCGTTCTAAAAATAGGACTGCCGCGGGCGTGGAATCTCTGGCCAAGGTCCGGTATGTGCAGAATGGGACAGGTTACAGTACACTGTGGCTGGTGCTTATGCACTTCTAGTCAGAGGCACACACGCGACTGCTGTATGCTGGGCCGGAGAATTGAACTCACTCTTATCCGCAGAGACACCGTCTGCCAGTGGAATGCAGGCGAGTGCTGTATTATGTTGTGTTGGAAGGATGAGTGCAACAGTCGAGTTAACAAGGCGCCGTATGCCACTACATGTGTATGCACCCTCAGCATGGGTCTGTATGTATAGACTCTCCGCCTACTCTGCCCGCAGTCCGATTGGACACCGAGCAGATGCACCGATGTGACGGATGTCGGATAGGAAGGGAATTGACATCATTTGCAAGCCTTTTTATTAGTAGTCGTCAGGCTGTTCTCGCTATTAAAGAGAGATGAAGCGTTTATTGAGAGCTCTGGCTATCAAAGATAGTCGAACCCGTCTGCGACATCCGGTGTTTGCATTTGCGGGGACTTGCACAGCATCGACCAAATCAGTATCGCGATAGGTACGAATGCTTTGACTGTCTAGGATGGAAAGATTGGAGGCGCCAGTAATAGAATCGCGTTGTGGAGAATATTAATCTACCGGAGACCTGAATGATTTTGCTTCAGCATCTGCTCCTGGTATCTCACTCATCCGGTCATGTGCCTCTTCCCAAAGGAAATTGCTCCGCAAAATAAGTTGATAACGCCATGTCACGGATTGTAACCTCTGTTTGGTTAAAGATGATCTCCATCTCCCGCTGAGCGATTTATAATTGATCTCAGAAACATATGTAAATCACTCAAATTCTGTGTATTTACCTCCGGAAAGGGGGATCAATAAATGCACGCATATGCGTGTATGAGAAGTAATAGAACGACAAGCCCCATCAGTTCTGCTCATCGAGTGTAGGCTGACTTGAGCGTCATCACAAACTGCAATACAAAACGCGTAAATTTCGGAACAATGTCCAAAAAGCCGGGTCGTCTAGCATACTGCAAGTGCCAAACGCAGTGGTAAGTGAGGTGAATGGTGGTCATAACTGTAAATAGATACGGCGCAGGAAGCGAAGATTGCCCGAGATCATCAGAATCGGCAAAACAACTGTCCATATGAACGCAATCGTCTGCGGATCACTCTGAAATATAATCCTCAATCCAGCAAGCTAGACGAGGATCGAGTTGTACTTAGGCTCTCGCCCCGCCATGTGATAAAAGTATCGATTGTGATTGAAAGATCCGGTTAGTTCGCTCGGGCCGGTTATATGGTACACATGAATAGCGGGCTGATAAAACTCGCTGTTGAAATACCGATAACATGAGCATTGAGCTGGTGGGATCAATCGACACGTGTAGAGAAGAAGTCGAGGAATAAGCCAGACGTTGCTCCGTTTATGCGTGCACATGCATAATGGATTTAGTAAGGAGTTCGCGTCATGTATGCTCGAATGCTCGGAATCCGGTTGAGTGGATCGGCACAAAGTTTGCCAGTCACCCACCTATCCCATTGGTACAAAGTCGATTGATGATGTTCATATACATCGAATCTGTACCCAAAATGCAGACGTGTTCTCCGCCCTCATTTTCGGTTCTACATACATCGCGTAATATGATTGTACAACTATTCGTACCGCCATAGACCCGTCTTTGTTTTTAACAAGCATTCTTTAGTTTGAAGTTTTAGAACAGTGTAAGATTGCTCAACAAATGATAATTACAATTACGTGTTATGGGGATGCATATATATGGCCTTTCCACACGGCGTAGTGTGCCTTTCTTGAAGTAAATTGTGAACAAAGTTTTCACAAACTCGAGTCTCGACTCATTTTATGATGCACTTATTTTTAACTATTTTTGAAAGTACTCGTTGCTTAAGCTGTTTGTTTTGCTGCAGTTTCGGCTGGAGGACTGGGTGTCTTCGGTATGAATTTTTTATCTGCATATATCACCCTGTACAACACAAGATTGAAGCAATATAAAGAGTCAGTGACTTGCAGAGAGAAACTCAGCGAAACATTAGGCAATTCTAGCTTTATCGATAGTGAATAATATGCCATATACGAATATATATATATATATATATATATATATGTGTGTGTGTGTGTGTGTGTGTGTGTGTGTGTTGTGTAGTGTATGTGTGTGTGTGTGTGTAGTGTGTGTG